CTCCTCCCCTCGCACCCCTGCGGGCCACAGGGATGGCCCGAAGAGGCCATCCAAGGCCAACCCCTTGCTCCCAAAGATCTCTTTGTTCATCCTCGTTGCCCGCTTTGTTCCTCTATATGTGTCTCTTCGTCTCTTTTCCCGTCAGCTCACTGGGCAACGTTTCTGAACGGGCTGGTGGGGATACGCGAGGCGCGAAGAATTGTCGTATGATTATCGCGTTCACGCCATTTCGGGGTTCTGAAAGCCCCAGGCAGCCCGAAAAACCTCCCAAGAGGGGCACGAGAGGCCCAGGATGGGGAACCCGAAGGCTCTGGGAGTCCTCCACCACAGGATGGCCCCCGAAACGCCCAAATCGCCCCCAAGAGGCCCCCGAGGTGCCCCAAGAGGGCCCAAAAAGAGCCCCCAGGAGCCCAGCAGAGGCTCCCGAGCGGCCGCCCCAAAAGTCTCCGGGAGGCCCCAGGGAAGCCCCGCGACGGACGCGAAGGAAAAGAAGGACCTACCTGACGGGGCCCAGGGACACACAAACAAAGAGACACGAATACCGGGATTCCCTCTATTTTCTGGGTGCTCGTCTTCCCAATCCACTTCGCATATGTTCCGCAGTCCCTGGGAATCTACAATTAGCTGTGTCTGTGTTTCCCTCCTGAGAACCAGCAGCAACCACACGCGGGCAGCACGACGAATCATAAGAAATCCGAAGCTGCACAAATCCTCTCCTGGGGATCGGCGGAATGGCGCTCGCAAGTCTTTTTGATCGATTCCCGAGGGCCCCCCCGACAGGGGTCCGCCTCGGATCGTCGGCGCACCGAGCTGGGCGGGGGTCGCGACGCCTTCGGCGCGCGGTGTTTGCCTTGGCCCGTCACGGAGTCAGATAGTCAGATGGGGGTTGTCGGTGGCGGCGGCACACCCAGGCGCTCATCCCGAAACGCAGGACAGCCTGGCCCACCGTGGCCTGCCCTGGCATAGCTCAGATTAACCTCGCGTGGTCCCACTTGGCTCGGGCACCTGCTGATACTTGGCCTGTCTGGCCTTAACCTGGCTCTGCCTGGGTGAGATGAGCTTCTCGTTGCCTGGCTTTGCCTGGCATGGCGTATCATAGAATCGCGTGTTCTGGATTAGCGTGTTATGGCGCGGGTTGGCGTGGCCAGGCTTGGCGCCCCTTGGGTAGGCCACGAGATAGCGCATAGATGCTCTAAGTCCACGGCTGGCATAGTTTGACTTGGCGAGGGCCGGGGTGGCATGGCGTGGCATGCCTTGGCTTGGCGTGCCGCAGCTTGGCTTGACTTGAAAGAGCACCGCCTCGCGCTTTCAGACACGCGCAAGCTTCGCTGCGTAAGATTAGTTTCGTACATGATCTGACCTTGACTGGCTCCAACGAAGCACATGGCCATTACGACTTGCATGCCAAGTATGACTGGGTTTCAACTTGAAGCTGCGGTTGCAGCCATAGCTGTGGCGTTCCGCCGCTAGCTTGACCTTACTGTGGCTACCCGTACCTGTAATAGCTTAAGTTGGAAATGCCATGCCTGTCGTTGTCTACGTTTGTGCTGCTTTCGGTTTGGATATAGGCTTTGACGCTAGCTGCAGCTGAGGTTGCAGCTTTCGAACCAAGCGAGATCCTGCAAGTAACACTTGCGTTAACTTAGCTTCAGCTTGCCTTGGCCCAGCATAGCGGGGCATGGCCCAAAGCTTCGAACTTGCCTTACCCTATACGGGTGTGTTTTCAACTCTCAACTTGGCATTGGATTGACCTGGCCTTCGACACCTATAAGTCTGACCAGCCATTTGGGCGAAGGTGGTCTAGCAAATTTCTTCCCCTTCCAAAACCCTCTTCCCTTCGAAAAGGGCGCCACTCCCCAACACTCCCTGTGGTTTTTGAGGCGGGCCGCGAGGGGTTAGAGAGCCCCTGTCGCCCAAGGTAGCTCCAAGAGGGCATCCAATGTTCCAAGATGGCCTCCAAGATGGCTCTAGATAGCTGGCCACGGTTCAAGATAGCTTCCGCACATACCTTCAAGAGGCCCGACGAGGGCCACAAGACGGTTCCAAGTGCTCGCGGGGACCCCTCAGGGCACCCCCCCCCAAGAGGGCAAAATCTGTTTTACTACACAATGATAAAACCATGTATGTATACATATATACAAACATATGTGTATATATATATACATATATATACATACATACATACATGCAGGCAGACAGACAGACAGACATACATATGTACCTATACGACCACCCTTCGGGTGATAAGGAGGTTCGGGGGGGGAGGAACCAACGTCTCACTCGATCGGTCTCACTATCGATCTCACTATCGATCTCAGTATCGGTCTCGCTCGATCGATCTCCATCGATCGATCTCACAATCGATCTCACTCGATATATCTCACAATTGATCTGACTATCGATCTCACAAACGATCTCACAATCGATCTCAAAATCGATATCACATTCGGTCTCACGATCGATCTCACTATCGATATCACAACCGCTCTCACAATCAACGTCATCAACATCATCATCAACAACAACAACATCAACATCAACATCATCATCACCAACATCATCATAATCGGGACACCGTCCTCATCATCACCACCAACATCATCATCACGGGCATCAACATCATCGGGACACCACCATCGTCATCATCATCGGCACCATCATCACAATCATCATCATCATCATCATCAACATCATCATCATCAGCAGCATCGGGACACAGTCATCGTCATCATCATCCTCAACAGCAGCATCATCATCTGGACACCATCATGATCACCATCGTTATCATCATCATCGGGACACCATCATCATCATCTCATCCTCATCATCGACATCATCATCAGCATCATCAACATCATCATCAGCATCATCATCGTCATCATCGGGGCACCATCATCATCATTACCAACATGAGCATCAACATCATCATCATCATCACCATCGGGACGCCATCATCATCAACATCATCATCACCATCAAGATAATCATCATCATCGGGACGCCAAAATCATCATCAACCTCATCATCATCAACATCATCATCATCGGGACACAGTCATAATCAGCATCATCAACATCAACATCATCATAAGCATCATCATCGGGACACCATCATCGTCATCATCATGATAATCAACATGATCATCATGATCATCATCATCCTCATCATCGGGACACCATCAGCACCATCATCATCGTCATCATCATCATGGACATCATCATCATCATCGGGACACCATCATCATCATATCATCATCATCATCGCCCTCATCATCATCAGCATCATCAGCATCAGCATCACCATCAACATCACCATCCTCATCATCATCATCATCATCTCATCATCATCTCATCATCACCATCATCATCATCATCGCGGGACACCGCGGGACACCGGCGGGACACCGCGGGGCACCGCGGGACACCGCGGGACACCGCGGGACACCGGCGGGACACCGCGGGCCACCGGCCGCCCAGAAGGGAGTCATTTGGTCCGGCTGCGCCTCAGCCACACGGGACACCAGCGGGACACCGGCGGGACACCGCGGGCCACCGGCCGCCCGGTGGAGAATCATTTGGTCCGGCCGCGCCTCAGCCACAGGAGACTTTTTCTCGCCCGCCCACGCAGCTTCGCCTCGCCCGCCCGCACGGCACGCACGAACACGAAACCGAAATCGATTTCCCGGTAGGGGGGCTCTCCGTTCCACTTCGATCTCACCCCCTCACCTCCGATATATATAAGCAGGAAATCAAATGCGCGTGCCTTCTCGCACTTTCGCCTCCGATGCCCCAAGATGGCCCAAGATGGGCCCAACATCAACACGAGGGGCCCAGGAGGTCCCCCAGACGGCCCAAAGAGCGCCCTAGGGCTCCCCAAGAGCGGCGATTTTGATGGCCCCAGGGGGAGAAAGAACATTTGGGACCCCCCCTTTTGATCGATGGCCTCCAAGATGGCCCCAAGAGGCCCTCCAGGGCCCCGCACACAAATGCAAACCAGCAAAATGCCTGTGTGTTGGCTGCTTGTTTGAAGAACTTGTTTCTGAAAACCAAAAGAACAAACAAAAAACAAACAAGAACCAACAAACCGAAACAAAACAAAACAAAACAAAACAAAACAAAACAAAAACAAAACAAAAACAACAACAACAACAACAACAACAACAACAACAACAACAACAGCAACAACAACAACAACAACAACAACAATCACTTTACCCGAACGCTCAGTGTTCTCACCAGTGCCAGGGTTTTCATGCGACGCCAGCCAATACCCCCACTTTGTGGGGGGGCAATGCAAGCTCTACCAAATATCCACACGACTCTTCGCCACCACCCACACCCAGCTTCCCGCCCTATGACGTTCGGACACTTCACTTCGTGGCCTGCGGACGACCGTGGCTACTACACTGGCGTGGAGTACACACCCACAGAAGTTGTTAAGCCTACGTTGCAAGAGCGTGCGAAAGGAGCTCGCGCGAGCTCATGTAACATAAATGTTGGAAAACCATTGGTTTTTTTAGGATTCGGACAGCGCGCGCGGGTAGAAATTTTGAAAAGTCGTGCAGGTGTTTTTCGAGGACCTACGGTGCGATTCGTGTGATTTTATGATGCGCGGTGCTAAAATTCTTAAGAAGCCCAATGGTTTTTGGAGATTTCGGCGTGCGCGCGCGAAGAAAAAACGAATGTGTCCCGCATGGTATTATTTGACAGGGATGATGGCCCTGGCAGGTGCGCAACCGTTGTCGCAGAAGTTCGAAAAAGTTGCTCGCAAAAGCCCGTTTGACAGAAATGTTTAAAAAGTGTTGGGTTTCCTACGAATCCGCAAGAGCGCGCGGGATGAGATTTTGACATTTTTTTGTTGAAAAACCATTGGTTTTTTGATGTTTTTATGTTGAAATCGTTCCGAACACTAAGCTTTTGGAAGGATTTCGTCTTGCGCGCGCGAATGTCCACTTTACCTTATTTTTTGCAAAGGATTCTTGAAATTTGATTATATTAGAACAAGAAATGTCATTTTATAGTGTTTTTTGCAAGGGAAAGCGGGGGGGAACAAAACAACCGGATCTTGATCACATCGAATTACCTGAGGCTTCCTCACGAAAATGATGAAAATGTAGCTGCGGCCTAGGCGGCGCAGGGGGGCCGTGCACCAGGGGTCCCAACAATAATTATTCTTTAGAATTAATAATGTTCAACAACAGCAACAGCAACAGCAACAGCAACAGCAACAACAACAATAACAGCAGCAACAACAACAACAATAACGGCAGCAGCAGCAGCAGCAACAACAACAACAAACTAAAAAATGCGCGGAGCGCAAGCGACGACGCCAGCACATCTGGGCGCGAGGCGGCCGCAGGACGCTGGCGCCCAGGCAGGCGACCGCGGAACCGGAGGAGTCTCCTCGAAAGGCAGGCGCCGTGCGAGCGGGACCACCCACGCCACCAAGAACACCACCACCGCCAGCGGACCTGGGAGGCCTATTGGGAAGGTTGCCGGGGTCGTCGCCGCCCCGCCGCGCGTGCTCCACGGCCGCCTCGTCACGAGGCCGCCGCCTCGCCATTACAGCCGGGGCCGCGCCAGCCTGGCCAGAGTCGCCCCGACGGGAGTTCGGTGCGGGGTGCGTCGCGCCGTCGCCACCAGGGCCGTCAACCGGCTGGCGACCGCCCAGGGGCGGGCCGCCAGGAGGTCGTTGTCGCAGTCGTCGTCGGCGTCGTCAGGGTCGTCGTCGGAGCCAGGCCAGAAGCCGCCGCCTGCGTCCAGAACCCTGCCAAGGCCTTCGCCAGGGTCGCCTGCCAGGCCGCCACCGCCGGGGCCGCCGCTGGGGCCGCCGCCAGGGTCGCCGCCAGTGCCGCCGCCGGGATCGCAGCCGAGGCCGCCGCCGGTTTCCGCAAAGACGCCCCACGCCGCCACCATCGCCGCAGCAGCGGCGAGCACCTCCGCGGAGCGGATGCCAGGCGCCTCGGAAGGGGGAGGAGGGTGGCCCAAACGATATCGAGGCCGAAGCGGCAGGCCGCGATCTGCAACTGAACCACCAGGCGCTCGACCGAGGGCCCAGCACGATCCGTGATCCAGCCAGACTTGGCCGTAACCAGCGACTGGGCAGCCCACCAGCCTGCATGGATGCCGACCTCGGCGCCGAGACGGTCGCGGGCCGCGTCTAAGCGCGGGCAGGCGGCCCAGAGGTGCCGCGCCGAGCACAGCAGCTCTGGGCACCAGGGGCAAACCTTAGCGTGCTTACCCCTCCTCGCGGCGGGTGGGGGTCCGGGCAGCTCCGCCGCGCCACACACTAAGCAGCGAACGCGACTGAGGGCAGAGACTTCGCCGCCAGTCCCACCACACAGGCGCACTCGAAGCCTCGATGTCGACGGCATCGATGCCCTCCTCGTCGTACCTTAGCGGGAGGCCTTGGTGGGGCTGCAGGAAGAGGGCCCGAACCACGACCTGGAGGGCGTGCTGGCCAGGCTCGCCAGAGGCGTCAAATGCGCCCGCAGGCGGCTGGGGCAGGCGGGACCGCGGCGCGCAGCACGGCGGCCTGGGCGCGAGGATCGGGAAGCGTCGCCAAACCCCACCAACCAAAACCCAAGAAGGGGGACAGGCGGAGCCGGGCGAAGCCCGAAGGAGGCAGCATGATGGCCCACGGAGGAAAGCCACAGAGGCGATGCGGGATAATCGACCGCCGCCTTCAGGGCCAGCACAGAGGTCCCGAAAAGCGGGTGCAGGGTCAGCCGCTACGCCCACCACCTGCGCTGGCACCACCACGCGCAGCTGGTCCGGGACACGCTGCGGAACATCAGGCGCGTGAGTTCCGCAGGCGGGGCGCGAACGAACGGAACCGCCTAGCGCCACTTGGACGCCACGCACTGGATCCAAGCACGCTCCTGGATCTCCACAAACCCAGGGAGGGTAGCAAGGCGTGCGGTCAGGTCGATCACACTGTTCCATCCGTCCCTAGGCAGAGGGACAGGAGGTTCGGCGAGGGCCGAAGACGCGGCCCCAAGAGGGCCCCAAGAGACCCAAGAGGGTGGGCAGGAGGGCCCCAAGACGGCCCCATGACGGCCCCAAGAGCGCCCCAAGATTGCCCCAAGAGCGCCCAGAAGCGCCCCAAGAGCGTCCGACGAGGGCCCTAAGAGGCAGTTTGCTTATTCTTCATCTTCTTTTTCTTTTTCTTATTATTCTTCTTCTTCTTCTTCTTCTTCTTCTTCTTCTTCTTCTTCTTCTTCTTCTTCTTCTTATTCTCCTTCTTCTTCTTCTTCTTCTTCCTCCTCCTCCTCCTCCTCCTCCTCCTCCTCCTCCTCCTCCTCCTCCTCCTCCTCCTCCTCCTCCTCCTCCGCCCCCTCCTCCTCCGCCCCCTCCTCCTCCGCCTCCTCCTCCTCCTCCGCCTCCTCCTCCTCCTCCCTCCTCCTCCTCCTCCTCCTCCTCCTCCTCCTCCTCACCTCCTCCTCCTCCTCCTCCTCCTCCTCCTCCTCCTTCCTCACCACCACCACCACCACCACCATCATCATCATCATCATCATCATCAATCATCATCATCATCATCATCATCATCATCATCATCAGCAGCAGCAGCAGCAGCAGCCGCAGCATCATCATCAGCATCATCAGCATCATCATCATCATCATCATCAATCATCATCATCATCATCATCATCATCATCATCATCGTCAGCAGCCGCATCATCATCATCAGTCACATCATCATCATCATCATCATTCATCATCATCATCATCATCAGCATCATCATCATCATCATCATCATCATCAGCATCATCATCATCATAATAATGATAATAATATCAGCATCATCATCATCAGCATCACCATCCTCTCATCATTATCAGCATCATCATCACCACCACAACCACCATCATCATCATCATCATCATCATCATCATCATCATCATCCTCGTCATCATCATCATCATCATCATCATCATCATCATCATCATCATCATCATCGTGATCATCATCAGCATCATCATCATAATCATCAGCATCATCATCATCGTCATCATCGTCATCATCATCACTATCATCATCGTCATCATCATCAGCATCATCAGCATCATCATCATCCTCTTCCTCGTCCTCCTCCTCCTCCTCCTCCTCCTCCTTCCCTCGCCACCCCGCGAGCCCCAGGGATGGCCCGAAGAGGCCCTCCGAAGCCACCCCCTTGCTCCCAGAGATCTCTCTGTTCATCCTGGTTGCCCGTTTTGTTTCACTATATGTGTCTCTTCGTCTCTTTTCCCGTCAGCTCTATTGGCAACGTTTCTGAACGGGCTGGTGGGGATGAGAGAAGCGCGAAAATCGCCCTGTTGTTACCGAGTGGCGTCTCGCTGTGTCTTCCAACGGCGGTCAAACAGCGCCCCCGCAAAACCGCTGCCTGGGGGATCACCTGCCCGCGTCGCGCGGGGACCCGGGTGCCAGTGGGGACGACTCCCTCGTGACTGCTCGAAGATGGCGCAACTCGCCTCGCCCCCCCTCCCTGCCCCCTGCTGCTGGGGTGCCTTGAGGGGGTAGCGCTGTGGTGCAGACTCCTCCTTGAAACTCGGGCAGGCATGGTGCGCTCGAGGCGGGATTGCACTCAAGAGGATGATGCAGCGCGGCAGAAGCAGGGGGAACAAAGCGGCACGCGGCGGCCTCCATATGGTCTCTGCGGATACTCGGTCGACGTACCTGCAGCCCAGAAGCGGCTTACGTCCAGTATGAGTGGCAGAGGCTGCGCAGCAACAGAAGCAGGCACATGCAGGACAAATTGCTAACTGACCCTCACTATCTCCGACGCACATCGAGCACGGCACCGGCTACTCCAGAAAGACTGGCCTGCGATGCGCGAAAGACTTGTCCTACGACTACGACTGCGAGTACTCCAACTACTCCTACCACAAATAACACTACGAGCACCAGTACTACTACTACTACTACGACGACTACTACTACTACTACGACTACTACTACTACTACTACTACTACTACTACTACTATTACTACTACTACCACTACGACTACGACTACTACTACTACTACTACTACTACTACTACTACGACTACTACTACTACTACTACTACTACTACTACTACTACCATTACTACTAC